TTGCTGCCAGGCTGAGCCTGTCCCCTGGCACCCAGGCAGTTGTGGTCAGAGCCTGCCGCTTCCCTTGGCTCCTGCAGGGAGGTGTAGCAGGGGAGAAGCAAGCCTGGATCTGCCTACTCTCTTAAGGAGTAAATCTGCCCTCAGCAGGCCACATCTATGCAAGATATTAAAAGCACAGTAGACTAATTCTACTGCACATTAGTGCATCATGGCAAAACTGTGCTAATGTGCTAATGCACAGTAGAATTAGTCTACTGCACATTAGTGTCACTTAAAAGATGTGCGCTGACGCTACTGTGTAGTAGCACTGATTATGGTGTGTTTAAGTTACTACCTGTTTATCAGGTGTGTGTGCTATAAGGCTGGCATCCCTGTTTGCCTGATGCTTTACTGGACTAAGCCATGGGGAGAACCAGATGGTCCTGTCACTATAAAGCTCTGATGTCTTTCTTTCTCCCACCATGCCTTGATGTATGGGTTTGTTTATTTGAAACCTTGGGAGTTGGAGAGAGGCTGGGATAGGTCTCTGTGATGGGCTTTCTTCATGAGGCTCCTCCTTCCCTTACACCCCAACCTAACCATGTCCAGGATGACACATGTCTGGGCCTGGATCTTGTATTGGCTTGTCACACTTCAAACCTCACCAGGATTTAAAGAAAGAAAACCTCCCAGGTGAAGCACTATCCCTGTCTCTCCTGCCACGTCTTGGTGTAAGATATAAAGTAGAGGTTCAGTGTGAAATCATATAGGTGCCTGTCCGGGTTTTACTCACGGTACCACCAAAGCTGACATGGGGTTCCACCTCCCCTACACCCAGCCACTCACCAACCACTGCTGACAGTGTTTCGTGATCTCCAACCACTGACACAGACTGCCAGATACTTCGTCCTAGTCCCTGTGGTGTTCTCAGGATTAATCCCACTAATCAGGATGGTACTTCTTCTCCTAGCAAACCTGTTAGGATCACCGTGTCCCTTTAGCTAGCCTAATCCTTGGCTATTGTTTCTCTTCTTTTTCAATTGTATAATAAATAAAGAAAAATATTGAAACTCAAAACAAAATTCTCTTGTCATAATGCTCTCTGACTCTGGCGTCCTCTAACTTTCCCTATTCTATAGCGAGCCCTTTTCTTTCTTATTTCATCAAAATAGACCCCCATTGGGGTCTGCCCTCCCCGACACTCCTGGCTCCTGCTCCGGGACCTTAGCTGCCCAGAGCCAGCTTCCCTCCTGACTTCCTCTCTGGCACTCCTGGTGCCATTTAAATCTCTTGCAGTGGCGCATTTGGCTGATGTCATCAGCTGTGCACTGCCCATACAAGCCTATAGCAAGCTCATAAAGCGATGCGGCTGCTCCACACGCAGTTCCAATACAGGTTCCTGTTCCAGTAAGTGTTGAGCACTTCCTGATCCAGGTCCCTTCTGGACCAGATTGGAATGGGCACCGAGGTTTTGGGGGTTGGGTGGCAGGTCGGGCTGCAGTCCTGAGCCACCACATGGCTGAAGATGCTGCTGGCTGTTACTTGCTGTTCACTAAATAAGGTTTATGTGTTAAGCTCCTTCATTCGAGATTTCTGAGTCCATCCTTAAATAAATTCATTACAGGCTCCAAGGCCCATAAATTAATAAGCCTGTTTAGAGTTTGAGAGACATCTACCTCACCAAATTCATCCTCATTTCCCAGGCTAATTAATCCCAATCGGTGTATTCAAGGTTATTGGACAATCCATCAGAATCAGTTCATCTCAGGCTCCTGGGTCAATCAAATTAAATCAGCCCACAAAAAGACCATCAATAAATCTGAAAAAAGTAAGAAATCAATTCCTTGCTGGTTCCTGGGTCAATGAAATCACCTCAGTCCTTCAAGTGTTCATGGGGCAATCAAACGAAATTAATACCTCCCCTGTTTTGGGGTCAGTCAGCTTGAAATCAGTTTTACTGGGATTCCTACCCTGCCTTAGCTCCTCAGGTTCTGGATCAGTGCTTTCAGAGGGAAAGGATCTTTCCCTCCTGCTGCCTTCCCAGCACTTCGAGAAGGGAACACAACTCCTCCCAAAACAAAAAGAAACAAAGGAAGAGAGAGAAAAATCAAAGGCTCATTGCCCCTTTAAATTCACAGACCCACATGTGCCAGCTGCTCTCCCATTCTCCCTCAGTTCCGATTCCTGTATCTGCCACTTTAGTCTTTGCCTGGCTGTCTTGGAGCAGCTCCTCAGTGTGGCACATCCTGGGTTCTTTTGGTGGTCCTCTGACCACCTTGGCCAGTGGGCTGGCTTGCTTCCTCCGCGATTGTCTACGGGATGCTGTAAATGGAGAATACCTCGTGTCCCTCTGCTCTGCGAGCTGCAGTCCTCTCCTGGCTGCCTCTCTCCAGGGCCAGAAATACCAGTCCTTGTGCTCCCTCTGCCAATACGGAGGGAGCACATGCTATGAAAACGCAGTAGCATGCTCACTGCTCCAGTTTGACTTCTCTCAGTAACAGAGGTAAGTACTTCTTGGTCAAGTTTCTCAGGACTTTTCTCCTGCCCCATTCTCTTCCCCTCACATTATTATTACAGGTACTAAACTTAATGCACTGTACTTAGGGCACATTATTGCACATGTAGACTTGCCCACAGGGTGCACATGTAGATGTGTACCTGGGGCAAGTTTACTGTACCTTTTTACTGCACAGTAAGCCTAAATTGCATTAATTGCACATGTAGATGTGTCTGCAGTTGGACAGAAAGGTCAAGTTCAATTATCTTTTGTTCACACCATCTCCCAGCTTGTTGGCATATCCAAATCTTTCATTTCACAAATATTTCATTTAAGAGGCATTATTAAATGGTTTCTGTCAAACTATTTGCATGATTTGTGCTGTTACCAGACTGTACTATTTTAAAATATTTTTATAAATATACTATATACAGAAGGCCTATTATTATACAGTTCTCTGTCTTAGTTATTTTTATCATCCATTTCAGTATACAGAATTCAGTCATTTGCTTTGGTTATTTTTATATAAAAAATCAGAAATGCATAAATAATATAGTTTGTAGAGTATTAGTTTAAATACAAAAATAGCAAAAAGAACAGAAAACTCTGTGTGTAAATAACCAATGAGGTTGTCAGAATGCTTCAGAAAATGATTAAGTACCATTCTACCATGTGACCTGTTTAGTATTGTTAAAAATTGCTCTCGACACCTCAAGTTTCACTGACCTGTCATTGGTCTTTGTGTTTAACAAAACCTCAGCATTTTTGGTAGTGGGAAACCTGGACTTTTAAGTGTAGTATAATTTTAATTCCAAACATTCCTACAGAGTGATGTGAAGTAAGATTGCACTAACTGGAGATTTTCTTTGCATCTCTGATTCCTTGGCAGGACTTACATTAATACAAAACAATGTCAAATGGCATTTTTTCATATTCTACACATAATTTTCCTTTTCCAAATGGATTGTATAGTGATATGCTATATTTATCCAGTCACATTTTATGTAAGTGCTCTGTGTGTTTGTGGTGAGGTGGGGAGGGGTTATATGTGTGTATGTGCACATACACTGTATGAGTGGATGGATGGTCTTGTTCAGGCATTGGACTACAGTGCAGGAAAGCTGAATTTTTAGTATACTTCTGATATAAAGTTCCCCCATGAGCCTTGGTAGCTTATTTAGCACCTGCTCCAAAGCCACTTGACATTTCCAGTGATCTGCTCATTAATATTTCTGAAATCTAAATTAAAAGCTTGATTTCTCTTTTGTTTTTAGCCTCATCTTTAAAATGGAGAGGACAGTCCTTTCATTCCTCGCAAGAATCTTGTGAGGATGAAGTTTTTGGGAGGAAAGTTGGAACCTGGAGGGGCTGGGGGGAGGAAGGGGGAGGGAGAAGACTTTATATTGTTAAATAAAAGCAATTTAGCAATAGAGCATTACTTTTTGTTAATGTATATCTGCAGAAGGTTTTCATTATGTCTAAATTAATTAAAGTTCAGTAGTTCCCTGCTTGATATTCTGCTTACTTCCATGTGCTCTCTGCCTCATATGCTGCTTTGCTTTCTTCTTCCTGTCCTGTCTGCTGCTGTGCTGCCTTTCCCATCCCCAACCTGCCATATACTACACATGCAGGCTACTCATGTCACTTATGGCATCCCTACCTCGGATTGCCCACCCCGGTGTAGATGTTCCCTCCCGTACCTTTGCTGATAGCAAATATGCATGCAGGCGATAAGGTAAGTGCTGTGCACGTAGTTAATATCACTGCTTCTGGCCAGACAGGCAGATATCATTGAAATAGTCGTGACATTTTTCATAGAGATCCCAAAGCTATTACGTTCTAATGATAACTATTTTAGAATATACTATTTTATTGAAAAACTAATGTGATAAATATAAAATAGGATTTAGGGTAAGAGATTAACCTCTTGAAGCCAAGAATTGGCACTTTTCCATGTTCAGACGCAGAAAGCTAAGTATCAGGCAGACCTGATTGCTTCTTGTGAAGGTACAGGTGAAGGACTATGTGGGTAAAATATTGTGGAAAATTGTTCTATGACCTTTGTTTTCATTAATATGTCTCTCTGACATTTTTTAGACATTGATGAATGTTCAGTGAACAGACTGTTGTGTGACAATGGGCTGTGTCGAAACACACCTGGAAGCTACAGCTGCACTTGTCCAAAGGGTTATGTATTCAGCACTGAGACTGACACATGTGAAGGTAAGAAAACTTCCAATACAAGCATTCAGATTGTGTTGGGCTTATCACAGTTGGAGTTTGTTAGATAGTCAGAAAAGACTCAGAAACAGTGCCAAAAGTTACCCGGGAGGAAAGGACTAAATTGTAGCATAAGTTATATGATATATCTTATGTATTATGGTACATTAGTATAATGGACTATGACATTGGATTTCAACCAATAAAGCCAGTTCATTTTCTATGTGACGGTAAGTTTTGTTAAGAAAACAGTTTGAAGTGAAATTAAAAGAACTTGGGATCTGTTCCTATGCAGACCCTAAGTTTATGGACCAGGTCTACTAATCTATTTTTTTGTCAAAAAAGTTTGATATCCCTCATCTCCCTCTGACCATGAATAGGATTGTGAGAGCTTGTTAGAAAGCTTAAAACAATTTATCTTGACTGATTCTTGGTACTTTTGAGGTCAGCAGCAAAATGTCCTGGACCTTACTGCACATTAATATTAAGCTATTTCTTTTCTTGCAGCAAAACATGAATATTTGTAAAGTTGTTGTTGTATTGTGGACCTAAATGATACAGATGGCATATCAATGAAAAATAAACACAAATTAATGAGACATTTTTGCTTCTAAAGTTACTTTTATGGTGGGGGAGGGGGACTAGGACAGCAAATGAGGTTGAAGTGCATGGAGTTTTCAGTCTTGTTCTGTTTCCAAGGAAATTATTTATAATATTCAGGAACAATACAGTTTTAATAATTCTTTTCTTTTGGCTCAGTATTATCATTTTATGAGACTCGGTATTATCATGCTAAGCAAGTCTACACAATACAATGCCCTTGTTAGAGCAAACACTTAGAAGTTGTAAGCTTTAGCTTTTTAATACTTCAGCTTTCATGAATCAGTAGTTCAAATTCTGTCAGGATCAACGTAAACCCTTTTCCTTCTGTTCCAATCAATGGGAATTGTGTTAAGTGAAGTTAATATATGGCAGTCTTTCAGATGCAACCTTTAAAAACTGAGATCCTGTCTTTTTTTTTTTACATTACAGATCCAATAGAATTTTTAAAGAATAGAATCTTTCTTATACATTATACTTTTGGATTTCTATTGCTGCCCCATTGTCTATGCATTGTGTACTCCTAACCTTTATTCATGAATTTTAGCTATTGTTTTTAGCTGGGAAAATGGTTTCCTCGGCTTGTATTTTAATGTCATAGTATGTTGGGGAGCCTGCTGCAAACCAACAATCTGAAATAATGTTACTCACAGAGATGTTACGTTTGCACTGTTCATTTCGATACTTAATTTCAAAGCATAACTTTGACCATAAATATGTTAACACTGTTGAACAAGATGCCAGAACACAAACAACTGAGCTTAAATCATAGAATCATAAAAAATTAGAGTAGTATAATTATAAGGACATCTCCTTCCTATATTGATATTGACTCTAAGAACATAATTGAACAATATAATGTATCACTAACAGGGTTCAAAACAAAACCTTAGCTTAGGCTCTTTGTTGTCAAAATAAAATTTGGGTTACATTTTCAAGAATTCATGCCTTAGAAGTTTAAAAGCAAATATGATTTTATTTATACAGCAATGCCTCTAACCATTTTTTCTTGACTTTCTTGGAGTGACTTCTCAATACAATAGGTGCCTAGGATCTACAGAGATAGTTGATAATTAGAGTTGACAAGGGCCAGGAGAAAAAAAATGGATAAAATGGAAGCCCACATAGTTAGGTGTTATGTAAACTGCCAGTAAAAGAAAAATTACACTACACACTGCCAGTAAAAGAAAATTTATTTAAATGATTATCTAGGATTCTTTGATGGTATCACAGATTAAGGGTAGGGGTTTTTTAAAATTTGTTTTGGGGATTCTAATGAATAAATTAAATTCATTGTTTACCTTACTGTGACTTTGCACATTCCTAAGAAAACTTTTTTGTATGTCCCCAAGAGCACTGTATATCATCGGGCTGACAATAATTGTCATTTTTCCACCTCCTTAAGTGAAACACTGAATGACGCTAATGATATATGGTATCCCAGAAGCAGCTAGAGCAAGAGAAACATCTTCTCTGTTCATAGCAGCTACAATGGCTGGCTAACTGCTAAAGGAAGAACATCGTACCCTCCCCATACCTCTTATGGAGAGTAGCAGTGACCGTGCTGCCTTTGTGCATCTTACTGGGGTTCATTCACTCCCATTCGTGTGCTGTACTGGCCTTAACTGTAAACAAAGAGTATTTGTATAACCTGTGGCACAGTATTTACTGCTACTATAACAGCAGTGCTATTTTTAAAGAATAGAATAGAATATATATCTTTAGAAACGGATCAATCATAAATAGTAAAGCAGTTCCTCGGTTATTTTTTATAAAGAAAATCCTACCCATTTTCTACCTTAATGAAATTGGTTTAGTACATTGTTACCCAAAACTTAAGATTGTATAAGTCATTCTGAGCATAATTATTTTAAAAGACGTTTCATAAAAGACATTTCAACCATGGATTCTCTTTACAGTGTTGGGAGCAGAATCCTGTCAGCTATCGTTAATATTGTTTTGTATACGTAACATACACACATAATATCTGAAGTATCTGTTGTATCCATCTAGAATCCAGGAGTTAGACTAAAGTTTAGATTTAGCTGATCAGGCAAAAATGATCCAGAAATGGTTTGGCATAAAGCTGTCTATACAACTATAAAATCCTACATATTTTCTAACATTGAATAGCTTGCCTATTTGAAGAATAAACTTCCTGTTTCTCTTTTTTTTTTGCTTTCCAATTCTGTTTTCAAAGAAATACTTAGCAATTCAGTTTGGAGCTCTAGCACACTAGCTGTAAAATTTTGCTTTAGCTAGTAACTTTCTACCATGCATTGACATTAGATGATTGCTATTCAAAAATGTATTTTTAATTTAAATTAAGTGTCAACATTCATCATAGACTCCTGTGTTGTTGTTTACTCAAAATGAAGATGCAAGAAAACCCATTTTCAGGTTTTTAATCTTATTTTATTTTACTTTTTAAGCCTTGAGAGTCTGTGAAAGTTGAAATTTTTACAACAAGCTCTGTGGTTTAGATTGTGTTTCCAGTGACATAACTAGTTAAATGTAAACCAGATGTGCTTTGAAGTTTATTTCCAGGAATGTACAGTGAACTGTTTCAATTCTTGGTTCTATGACATTTACAACGTACATTTACCACACTTAAAGGAACATATCCACAAGGAAAAAAATCCTCTAGCAATTTTTTCTACTTAAAATCACATTTCTAGCTAAGACTATCTTGCCCACTATTGTTGCAATTAATACCCAAGATTATTTTAATGAAGAATAGAAAAATCATTTATTTTTCCATTTTGTTTGCTTTGTACACATGATACTCTTTGGCCCTGATTCAGCAAAGCAGTGAATGTGGAGTTGCACTTATTCTTTCCTGAATGGGGGCTTTTGTGAATTGTCAATATCAGCATTTATGATCACCAGGGACCCAATCCTGCAAACATTTGTGCCTATGCTTAAATTCAGGCATATCACTGCTTTCATTGAATTCAGTGGGATTTAAGCCTATGCTTAAGTGTTTTTCTGAATTGGAGCCAAAAATCTATCGAATGCACAAAAAGAATGAACAAAAGAAAAAGAGGAAACTTTGCAGGATCAGGTTCCTGTGTGTTTGTGTGGCTTCTTAACACTGCAGACTGAAGGGGAAATATTTTTTAAAACCAAACAATCACATTGGAAAAAACTACCAAAGGTGGCAAAGAGAATTAGACATAGGCTGAGGACCATAGCATAGATGATGCATAAGTGTTGACAGTGGGGGACACACAAATCTGCGCTGTCATTACCTCCTCCACTGCTGCCAGGCTCTGGCTCCTGCCAGGTTGCAGCCCCACAACCTGCCATTGATGCAGAAATTGTGGGGGGGAGCATGTTCCCCACCCCTGTGCCCTCCCCATGTGTTGTCTCTGGACCATAGGATACTTTGAATGGACTTTTTGGGGTGGAAATATTACACTACAAGTTGATTGTGTCTCTTTAAATACAAAATAAGGGTTGTTTTAAATTTTATCAGTACATATTTACTGAGTTGCATTCAAATTGTGTATGTGTAGTCGGGGTGGAGAGCACTATCTGTTATGGTTGCTTGACACTTCCTATTAAACAACCTATTTCATTTGGTTATAACTTTTCCAAACTTTGAACATTTAAACCAAATTTCTTTGCTGGCTACCTGCCTCTAGGTGACCTCCCCACTCCTCCCTCCCCCACCTCCTTTTTTATTTATTTACTTATTTATTACAGAAATTCAGCCAAAACCGTTTTTTGTTTTTTGGTTTGGTTTGCAAGATTAAGGCTAGTAAAAAATATTGGTTTGCCCATTAAAAAAAATTCTTATGACCTTTTTTTTGGTAGCACCCCGGGCTTTAATGCAGGCATTTGAACTTCCTTACGGAATAGTTTCTGGGTCAAGAATGTGCCTTTTCTCCCCTTTGAAAATCTGCCAAATTATAAATCCTTAGAAAATCTCAGTTCACAGTAGCAGCTTCTTAGATTTTCACACCTAAATTCCTCAAAGATTCTGATGGCATTGAATATGCTTCAGCCTGGGACCCAAGCAGGGATTTCCCTGGAACAGCAGCTCAGGACTCAGGAGTGCTGTTCGGTTGAGGCTGGATGCCTGAACTGATGGCAGAAAGCCTATTTCTCTTGTGCACTCAGGGACCCCGCTTGTGTACTCTGGCAGCATGGAGGAAGAATGTGGCTCCTGATTCCAATGCAGAAGGATTAGACCTGCAGAGAAAGGGCAAAGAAAGTAGAAGTAGATTAGGAAAAGAAGTTGGAGGGGCAGCAGAAACCAGGAAAGGGAAGGAAGGATCTGGGACAGTGGAGGAAATTGGGACTGGTTAGCTAAGCTGATGGGTGGGATGAAGGAAGTAAGGTAGAGGATGTGACATCTGGTGTAGGACCACACAGTGGATAGAACTAGGCTCAAGAAG